GGGGGGGTTGGGTGGGGGAGGGGGGGAGGGCAAGCGAGTGCGAGGCAGAGCCGGAGAGGGAGGAAAGAAACCAAATTGGTACAAATGCAAAAGTGCAAAAGACGGATGGTGAAGGTGTACAATCACCTTTGGTTTGTGCGCCAAAAGAAAGTCAGTCACCTTGGGTTGTTGCGGCGAGCGAAAGTCAGACACCAGGGAACCAAGAGAATGAAGGAGATAAGACCACGAAGCGCAAGCAGTGGCGTTCAACTCGACAGGAAAGGGAGAGCACAACAACTGTTTAGGTTCGGTAGAGTGTCCCCGCGCTATCCAGGCGGTGAAGCAAAGAAGAGCGGCGCCAACAAGATGATAAATTGGAGCACAGCAGCGCAAGCAGCGCAAGACGGTGCTGCCATGTTCCTACATAGAGGTGTCGTGAACAAACAACAACTATGCATGTGAATACCTCACAAGCAGACGTGTACGTCCACAAGCGCACAACATCCACACTTGCACAAGACATGCAGTAGCCGTGCGTGCACTTGCCCACACGGCGCAGAAAGAGTGAGGCGATACGGAAGCGCACTCTGCGTGTAGGGCGACCAAAATGTAGTACGTAGGCCACACGAGACCCCCCCAAAACAAACATCTTCCCGCGTGGTAGTCGACGGTGTGGGCGCTGTTGACTCCCTCGGTTCAAAGGATTCACTCACACCGCCACCACGGAGCTCGTTCAGCGGAGATAGAGCTCGTTCTCTGTCTAAATTCATCAACTATGTTGTAGTGCGCTGACAACACAATCGCCAACGGTAGAGAGCGGAAAGCTGCTCTCACGGCGCGACGTCTCACTTCTGCCGGAGACGTTCGGAGAAAACGCAGGCAGTGAAGGCATGAAAGTAGGAATTTTCGTTTGGGCACCTCTTCGGGGGTCATGAGGTAGAACCGGCCGTAGACCCTCCCCCCTTCTTTCGGCGCCACCGACGCCACGCTGCCGCCCCAATGCAAAGACTTGAAGCCGAACACTCGCACGTAACCGTCGAGGTACGCCGGCCGCCCCCTGCCGGGAGCGTTGTGGAACCCAACCACGACGACGATGCGCGCAAATGCGACATGTACGATAGTAAAAAATGCAAGAACGCAGAAAGAAGCTAACACGCGAAGAGCATGCAAGAAAAAGCCGTGTCCACATGCAAATTTGTGGTTTGCACAACCGTGCTAAACAGCGTGTCTCCGTAAGAAAACCGTGCCTAAACCGATCATCGCGGTCTTGGCGACAGAGCAGGACAAACTCGCACCGTCATAACCGTCATAAAACCACATACGGTTCCTGATGGAATCCCCACGGTGCGGTGCGGTTTTGTCAAATGATCGTGCGGTGCGGTACGTGTTCTCAACTCAACATCTGACGGTGCGGTGCAACGTTTTCTTCTCCCTCAAAATGTGACGGTGGGGTGCGGTGCGTTCACACCGCACCGCACCGTTCAATAAAACAGCACCGTGAATATCGCTGGACAAGCAAGATGTTATGGGATTTGAATACAAGGATTTTAACGGTGGTTCTTGGTATGAAAAGTAGGTTTGGAGGGAACTGCAACTCCTGGTGGGACAGACTCATAGCAGGGGATGAGCCTTGACAGCCCCTCTCCGGACGTGGCGCCGCTCCCCCTTTCGTTGCTCAGCATACCACAGAGAGCAAAACAACAACAGCATGCATGCCGGCCAAAGATGTGAAAAAAAATATTGGTCTTCATCAGGGTCTTCAGGGATTGCTCCGCGCGTCAACCTCTTCTCAACACTTGTCGTCGGCGAGGACGAGAGAGAATGCATGCCACGCTGAAACCAGAAATCTAACCAAATCACTTCCTTCAGCAGTCTACCTTATCTGTGGATAGCACGGACAAGCAGCGTTTCTGTTTTGCTTGAACAAACAAATAAATTACCATATACCATTGTATGCATAAGCGCAAAAGACTGCTGCCCGTATGTAAGGTGTCCTACATTGGTGGAAATCACCCAACAACAGCGGTCATGTTGCATAGGATACCACACACCCTGGATCGATTTTCAAAGGTCGATTACTCCACGACAAAAACGCGATGCCAACAGAAAAAGATATATTTTCGGATAGCTCTCGACGAGATGATTCCAATGTCACAATTGTCGGCACCGCCACTGGTTTTTCTGCAGAGTACTCGAGCTTTGATAAACGGGGGGGTGTATCTCGTTCAGCCTATTATCTGTAGACGGCAATGCTGCTGTTTTATTATAACAAGCAGCAGTATTGTAGTCTAGATCCGCTGATCCGAAGGTGAGCAAAGCACATTATTCCCCTAAGAGTCCTTCATACCCACCTCAATCGTGGGCTGTGCACGCGTGCCCGCAGCTGCTGCTCGTTGTTGCTGCCATAGGAAAACATCCCGATGAATCTATCCTGCAGCGGGTCGTCGTTGTTTGCAGCAGCCATCGTGGTGTTCATGATTCGAAACTTATCTTGTGCGGTTACCAGACCGGGATTTTCCGTCGCGCGTGATCCCGAACCAACGGTGGCAGTAGATGGGCTTAGAGAAGCAACACCAGCGCAAGCACAGCGGCAGCCTGCTTGCGGGGCCTTTTGTATGTTTTGACCCGCAGCCCGCAGCCCGACAGGAGCTCATGTGTCGTGATGTGAAGATGTCCCGCGCCCGCCTCATACCCCCCCCAGCGGTCCCACCCTGTTCATCTTCCGGCACCCCCCGGGCCGGAAAACAGTCCGAAACAACACAACAACGCGCGGCAGACAGGCAGGGCAGAGGCCGGGCGGAAAACATTAAATAGAGCTATTCTACGCCGGCGTCCTATCCGACAGAGGAAGACAGAACGAAGAGGCGTTTCGTCCGTGCTTAGGCATCCAACAGAGCAGGAGTCACGGCGGAGGGAGCAGCAGCAGCTCATACACACGTCAAGGGAACCCTGCTGCTGCTTGTGTATGACAACTTCAGGTCCCGACTGGGTCGGCCAGGAATGGTTGCATGGGGAGATAGCTCCGTGGTTGGGAGCGGAGGAAACCCTCCGACGCACCTGCAGTGTGTGCCGAGCATGGCGGCATTGGTGAGTGGCGACGTGCAGCGGCAGTGCCTGCTGTTTACAACAATCCAACCGCGATTGCGCCGCCGATTTGACGGATGAACATATGTCAACAGCGGAGCCGAAAGCCCCCGCTTATTGGCCTGCTCTCTGAGTCGTGTTGCTGCTGCGTGTGTCACCGAGGGCTTTCAAAGTTCTTGTTTGGCACGGTAAACTCTCCGACGTTGCCCGTGGATGTTTAGATTGTGTTGATGGCCGCTAGGCCAGCATGGTTGAACCCGGTGTTTTTTTTTCTTTTGTCTCAGTTCCTCCTTCGTTTGAACGGCCGCCAATGTTGATGTCTGTGACTCTGTGACGTCATACGTGTGGGAACAATAGGCCGAACCAATGCGTATTCTGCCTAAGTTACGGCCGTCTCTAAAAGCATAAGTGACACAAGATATCGCACCCTCAGAAGATAGAGCAGGACCCCAACACACCACTCCAGGGAAAACACACCAGGTCATACTTCGACGTAGGGTTTTGTCTCTTGGACAGAAATAATTGTCCTACAGCAGTATCGCATGTTGTCACCCCCGTGACATAAGATAGCACCCCCCATATCTATGAGATTGATTTTCTCTACATGACCCTCTCTCTCTCTCTCTCTCTCCCCCCACTCTGTCTCTGTGTTGGTCACTCTCACCGCCACTCTCCCCCCTCCCCCTCCCTCTTTCTGTCTGTCTCCCTCCCTCCCTCCCTCCCTCCCTCTCTCCCTCCCTCTCTCGTGGCCTGTATCCTTCTCTCTGTTTGATCTCGGTGTCCTCTCTGTCTCTCTGTGTGTTGCCCCCCCCCCGAAAAAAAAAAGGTGCAACAACTACCTGACCGTCTTACACATCGGCAATGACCACCAGCGCCTCCACGGCAGCAGCTGCAGCGCCAGAACAGCGGGGCTCTCGATCCCCCTCTTTCTGCCGCTGGTCCCCTTTGCTCTGAGAGAGCTTAGCATGTCCGGCGGGTGGACTTCCCTCGGGGGGGTGGAGCTCGGCACCATCCGGAGAGGCTGTCGTCTCAAGAAGCTCGTAGTCACGGGAATGCGGTACGGTGTCGGGACGTCTGTTGGGGTTCTTGTGGTCATGTTGTTGCTGATGTAGGTTGTGTTTTTCTTTCATGTCCGACGAGTCTGATGTGTAGCGGTGGATTGGAACAGCAGTTGTGCCGGCGTCAAATGCACGCACCCGGCTGTTGGTTCGGCTTATAAAGCCCCAGCAGTAGTAGGCACCTTTGGTACATACGCACAAGGCAGGGGTGGTTTATGTCCGGTGAGTATGATGTATGGCGGTTTTGTCCGGTGAGTATGATGTATGGCGGTTTATGTCCGGTGAGTATGATGTATGGCGGTTTATGTCCGGTGAGTATGATGTATGGCGGTGGTTCTGAACAGCAGCATGCACGCGTGGGGTTGTGTGATTCCGTTTGATGAAGCCCCGCTGGCAGTAGACACCTCTCGCACCTAAGTAGAAGACGCTGTGCTGATGCGTTTAACCAAACCAATAGAGTGATTTTTGTACATGTAGGTACATGCGGAATGATACCAGCAGCAGTAGCAGTTCGTGGCCCACTCTCACGACGCTACCGCCGATGATGATGCCGTTTACAACGCTGATGTTGCTTCTTCTGCTGTTGCCTTCGCTTGTTTGTCCCGGCGGTATTTCGATAATCGATCAGGCTCTGTTCGTTTTCTTATCGAGAGCTTTTATTGTTCGAGCACCTAGAAGGTGTGTTGTGTGCGTGAGAATGGGGGGGGGGGGGCGTCGAGGCAGAACGGCAGAGAAGCTTCGAAATGAAGGAAAACCGTAGATGAGAGACAAGGATAAGGAGGCAGCTGAAGGTAGGGGGCGGCAGAGGAGGGGCGAGAGAACGAAAGCGATGGTTAGAGAATACAAGTTGTATTTCCTGTGTATCGCTCCTCCCGCTAGCACTACTGTAGTATTGGGGTGGCCCTGAATCCCTCATGTAAGGTGTAGCCCCCCCAAGAGACCACTGCAGGCTGTGGTTGTCGGAGGGCTTAACTTCACCTGCTTACCATCATCTCCGACTCCGATGCGACCTTGCCTGACCCATCCCCTTTTTGTCACGGGTCGTCCCGTTTTCCCGCGAACGAACTTGGGAAGAGCTCGACATCTCGGACACACAGATGGACATCCCGCTTCCCCGGTTGCGGTTTTCCGAGCCCGCTAGCGGAAAACCCGGCCGTGACGGTATTTCGCAGGCGGAACCGGCTGCGTTGTCGCCCCCCAGTCGCCCCTCCATTATCTCTGCCAGAGCCCGTACTGGCAGGGTAGTCGAGCAGGCTTCGGGCATAAGAACACCCTTCGCTCCCTCTACTGCTGCCCGGGTCGGGGGGGATAGGAGGAGGTCTCGCGTTTCTACCGGTGGTGAGGGCGGTGGCCGTGCGTTTGATTCGCCGAGGTTTGCGGCGACTCTCAAGAGGCTCGTGGCGGTGAAGACGAGGCTGTGGAACCGGTGGGACCTGTCGACGTTCGCCGCGCTAACGTCGCTCGAGGTCTCCTTCGCGGGGAGGGCCATGCTCAAGCAGCTCCCCCGCAAGGTGGGGGGGGGGGGGGGGGGGTGACCGAAATATTTTTTTATCGTCTTTCGGTGTTTGCTACGATTGGCAGCGCGTCTCCCCAGTGGAGACGGAGTCCGCGTGTGTCTTGCGTACATTGGAATCGGTGGCCATGCTCTAGTATTCTGTAATGGTGACCGCGTTTTTTGCACGAGCGCTTGTTCCTATGGGGAATTTCCGTTCTCGCCTCTCTCTCAGGGAGGGGGGAGGTACGGAGGGTAGGCAACAGCGCGGGCGTTGTGTTGTGTATCATCGAAAGTTCGGGTTTGAGTACCCTGTGGACTCGAATTCTCGTTGAAACCCATTTCGAAAGTTATTTGGCGAAATATACATAAAAAAGGCCTGCACCCTACGTGGCCACGCTTTTCAATCCCACTACCCGCCTTCTGCAGGCGGAGATGGGGAGCAGACTGGCGGAGCTGTGTGTTTGCGATCTCGCACTTCGCAACCTCGTTCGTCCAACGGAGCTAACGGAGCTCGCAGAGGTGCGGCGATGTGTCCCTGCTGTGGAAGGAGGAAGCTTGGCTATAGTTTTTCCTTTGTTCTCATGCCCGTGGCTTCATCTTGTTTTGTTTTTTTGACAAGCCTGTGGCTGCTGATCTGTTGTGTTGGCGACCGTTCCCGTATCTACATGGCAATAATTGATGGATCATGCGGATGTGCCATCATTTTGCAAAACAATTTTGCGAGATGGTGGATAGCAGCCCTTACCTTCTAGCCGGTCCACACTACAGTAGTACCACACCGCTTTTTTTGTGCATCGCAGCACGTCTGTTTGGAGATGTAGCAGACCCTTCCGTGTGTCAGTACGTATACGTGCGTGTTGCTACCAGGCCGTATGTCAATGCGTACTGCTGTTCTCTACCTACTGCGTGCGTGTTGCCATCAGGCGGTCGGCGGGGCCTCGACGTTTCGACTGCGGCGGGTCGACGTTGTCAAGGAAGTCCCCAACTTCGCCTATCTGCGCGCCATCTTCGGGCGATTGCAAAAGTGAGCGGGGATTGGGGGGGGGGGGGGGGGGGG